AAGAGGCTGGGCTGAATTCAAATCCAGGATTTTGGAACAATGAGCCTTCTCTGATCCCTGTCCCAAATTGAGAGTAAACTCAAACCTCCTTTGGATCCCAGTAGTATTGATTAGTTCTGTGTATTATCTCTCTCCCTTTATGGAAATGGCTTGTGCAAGTAATCTATGACCTCCATGTTACTAATTTAGTCCCAGTCCTCACCCTTCTTTACACATCAGAAGCGTCTGTCATAGTTGGTGTCTCCGTTCTCCTGGAAATAGCCTTTTGGTTATTCCTATTTCATTAGCCATTCTTTTTCAGTCTCCTCTGATGGTTCATCTCTCCGATCCTTAATCTTGGAGTGCCTTAGAGCTCAGTCCTGGAAACTTTTTTTCAATCTATTCTTATTCCCTAGTGATCTCATCCAGTCTCAGCTTTAAATACTCTTTACACATTGATGACTCTTAATTTCTATTTCTGGCCTGGATCTCTCCCCTCAACTCTAGACTTGCGTATCCGAATCGCCATTCCCATTTGGATTTACAAGAGGCACCTCCAAGTCAATATGTCCCAAACAGATTGCCTGTTCTTTCCCCACTCCCACCCCCAATTTTTTCTCCTCAGTCTTTTTCTTCTCAGTAAATGGAAACATCAACACTTACGCTCAGGTCAAAAACCTTGGAGCCACAACTGACTTCCTTGTCTCTCCACATCCAAAACCTGTTGGCTTTACCATAACAATATATCCAGATCATGACCTCCTTATGCCCTGAATAAAGCCACTGTCTCACTTCACCAGGATTACTATAATAGCCTACTATGGGGTCTTGCTCCCTTACAATCTATTTTCAATTCAGGAGCTTAGGCCAGGATGGCTCAGCAATCATCTGGTTAATCCAATCAACCTCAGAGCTGGGGCCAGAATCCGTGTCCTGCCTCCCAAGGCCTACTCCTCTTTCCCAGTGTAGCCTCTGTGAGCGCTTCAAGAAAGTAATTTTGGAGGCTAACGGCCATGAGTATTTTCAATTTCAACGAAGTGTTACCATTTAAGAAAGTCTGCCAAAAAGATAATGGGAATGAAAAAGTGCTCTGTAAACTGTAAAGTGCTATCCAAAGGTTAGCTATCTGAGGTTCACTGCCAAGGTCAACAAACCCAGGCGGGTGTAGAGCCAGCTCTTAAATTGGAGGAGCTAAGGGAAGGCTGGCCATGCAAGGAGCCCCTCCTGAACGGGACACCGGCGTTATTTGCTGAGATCAAAAGGACTCCGTGGCTTATCTGTGTGGTAGTCTTATCCCCACCTATTTTAAGTATAATATATATGCTGAATAAAATTAATGCTCTCATATGTTAGAACGGATGATTTTTCTTTCTGCTCATGACTCTGCTTTTGCCTGTGTTTGAGAGGCCACACACTGAGCTCCAGCCACCTGTACCACTGGGCAACAAACTGCCCAAGGTTTCCAACCAACTGGAAACGTGTTTTTCTCCCACCTTCGTTTACATTTGTCCCAGCTGCATTAGAATTTAGATTCTATCCATAGCTCTGGCTTTCAAAAGCACATTCTTCTGCCCTCACACTACCTCTTTGTCATTGAACAACTGAATAAGCATTGTTTCCTTGGCTTGGCTGGTGAAAAGGGACCTCGATGAAGAGTAAACTTCACATTTTCTGGGCTTCCTTATCCTAGCGCCCCGCATGAAAAGGGCGGCCCAGTGTTTGGTGACCTCCAGCGTTAGGTTAACGATCTGGGTCTGGGCCCAGCGTGGATAATGAGCCCGTGAATAATGGGACGCTGATTGTCAGAGCCTTATCATGGTGAAGCTGAGAGGCAGAGCTGCTTTGTCCCGGGCTCCCCTGCCTTCTCCCCAAGCGTCTTAATCTGTCTGAGCTAATGGGCTTATGTGGCAGACATTCATTCTTCACAAGCTCCCATTCAGGCGGCTGTGCACCCGTTCGGTCTCAGATGTTTTTACACTTACGGGCTTGTAAAATGGTCAAAGAGAGAAAGTAGATAAACTTACAGAAAGCCTTCTGTTATGGGCTTGAAAAAAAGGCCCTACTTATTTCTCTACTGTAATAGGAGTCCTGAAAAGCCCAAGGTAAGCTGTGGAAAAAGGATGAAATAGGAACACTAACAGGCACAATACTGCACACAACCCTGCAAACTTCGTTTTGTTCCAGACTTTATCCAAGGGAACCCATGAGAAAAAGACAAATTTGGGAGATTTTTGCACTGCTGCAGGGTTAGAAAAAACAAACCAGGCAAGTTTTTGCTGTTGTTGTTCTAAGGACCAACTATTAGTAAAACTTTTACTTTTAAGATCAAAACTTATTTCGGGAAAGTTAGGAAATAAATGTCTTCTCAAGTTGTTACTGGTTTTCAAAAGTATCTGTGTAAGAGGCTGAGCTAGAATCATTCAGGAACTCTTGAGTCCTGGCTAGTTAGTGATCTTTCCACACAACTCAGAGCCCAAACATGAGCTATGTTTTAAAAAATACTAAGTGTTGCCTGGCTGGCATGGCTCAGTGGTTGAACGTCGACCTGTTAACCAAATCATGGTTCGATTCCCAGTAAGGGCACATGCCTGGGTTGTGGGCTCAATCCTCAGTGTGGGGCGTGCAGGAGGCAGGCAATCAATGATTCTCTCTAATCATTGATGTTTCTCTCTCTCCCTCCCTCTCCTTCCTCTATGAAATCAATAAAAATATCTTTAAAAAACACTGAAGTGTGGGTGAGCAGATGGGCTCAAGGGGATGGGGTGGCTTCAGCTCATCACTGGCTGGGGAAAGGACCTCTTTCTCCTCTCCTTTGGGTCACATTTTCAGCCAGAGTTTAAGAAGTGAGGCCAAAGAGCAGCTGTGTTCTCTATTTCTGGGTAACAGTTCCCTAAACTACTGTCACCTCCACAATTGGGGTAACGCTCAACAGTTGAGAGACAATAAGAGAGGGAGAGAGGGGGAGAGAGAAAAAGAGAGACATAGCCAGGTGGCTTCTGCTTGCTTTAAAATCAGACACCGAGTGCAAGAAAGAGGCGGTTTCAGGCGCTGGGTAAACTGAAAGCGAACTTCTTTATTGTACACAGTACAGAATATAACGCAGCTTGGCAGGATGCATACGGCCCTGCGCAGGGGGAAGTTATTTCAAATCGACTGGCAGGTTAAAGCCTTTCTGCACTGTAGACTTTCCACACTCTGGAAAAGAAGCAAACCCAAACAAATGAACAAACAGAAAAATAAAACCCTCCGGGAGGTGCATGAGTCCGATGGGAATGCAACGGTGATGCCTCCATCCTACGCCCCTGACAGCACAGGCCACGCGGTTACAGCAGGGAGGGAGAGCTCAGGCCACGCGATTATTTTCATTCTTGCTAAGATAGCGTAAACCCATTAAAAAAAACCAAACCAACCCCCCAAAAAACCCCAAACCAGGATAAGCCAAGAAAGAAAAAAAACAAATCCTATACAGCATTTACAACAAATAAATCTCTAGCCAGCCAGGGATAAAATAGGCATCTATGTATATAGACTATGTGTAGGTTAGAAAGCTATAAATATGGTTTGAAAAAGAGTCCTTTGATTAGAGTACAATGCTAACGAAGGCCCAAGCTATAGCATCAACACCTTTGTACATTTGAATAGCTTCCAACAGAGGAAAAACCTTGTTTCCATAGCTATAAAATACACCCCTGACCCTAGTGACTGTCTTCACAAATGTGCTGCCGGTCACAGGGGGGTCATTTGGGACTATGGATCGCCCCATCTGTAGGGAAACAATTCAAGGCGGGAGTCACCCTTGTGGAGCCCACGCTGTCCTTTACGTGTGGAGCAGCACAGTGGTTCTCAGCGCTAAGTGTCACAGGGGCACCGAGCGCTGTCAACAGAGCAGGCTGGCAACAAGGTGTTACCACCTCCTTCCTAATGAACGTTTCCTCTCCTTTGAGCTCCATTTCCACGTAGCTCTAGCTGGGCTGTTGAAAACATTATCAATATAATACAGCAACCAGGTAAGCTTTTTATTTACTTTTTATTTTTTTAAGGTGGCAGGAAACTAAAATGCTAGCACTGTTTTACCTGTCAGTGTCACATGTAAGTCTCAAACCCTATGGAATCATATGCAGGGTTGAAAGTCCAAGAAGGAAAGGAAAAAGGAAAAACAAAACGAACCGATGGAACGGAAATTGTCATCAGTCACACCCAGGGACGAGTCCCCTGGAATCCCACCAGGTGACCGGGTTCCAAATGGATGTGACGTGTATTATGTACATCTGCTTTCCAGAGAGGGCGTGTTAAGAGACTGTGGGGAACTATACACATAGGATCTAAGCGGTGTGTTCAGGCTGCCCTGCACACCTTGAAAATGTACAACTCAGGTGCAAGTATTCCGTCAGGCCGTCTGGTGCAGAAAGCACAAAGCGGGCAGTAAAGGGGGCTTGTCCTCGGCTGAGGGGAAGCCCCCACTAAGGGGGGAGGAAGCCCCCTTTCAAGCTGCAGCGTCTTCATACGTCGGCACTGCCCCATCGAAGGGATGCAGTGCAGGTACCAAAAGGTTTGGTTTATTTTTATTTTTTGCTTTAAATACCAAAACTACAAAAATCAGTTTATAAACTGTTTTTTTCCAAAACCACCGCCAAAACAAAACAACCCCCCAAAATCAAAGCAAAGCAAAATACTGTCAAAGTGTTAATCGCCCTTCTCCTGAAATGAAAGCCATCCGCACGCAGCCATGTGGCGGGGAAGAGAAGAGGGGGGCTTGTTCTACGTGGTGACCACATGGCCAGAAGGTTCCCAGGAGTAGCGATGCTGATTATTTGAGAACCATGGAGTGGGTGACAGCTGTTCTGACTTTCCCCCGTCTTTCTAGACCGAGGGGAAACATTTCAGAGGGAGCTAGATGAGCTCTCTGAAGTTTAATGATATATGTTTATCCCTTCCTGGTTTGAGCCTCCCCAACTTAGCCTACCTACTACCCTATGGGGTTGTGGTTTCATTTTCAATAAATTGTGCAAATCAGAGCCCTTCTAGGTAAAGGCATTTAGTAGTCCACGATCGATGCAGATTGTCACACTCTCCCCCAGTTGGTGGGTGCTAACCTGAACAAGGTATTGCTTTGCATATATTGTCCATGGGAAGGAGGCTCCATTGCAATCTCTTCCCAGAAACCCTGTCAGGATTAGAGCTGAGGCACCAGCCTTTTGGAGGTTTCTCTGTCCCTCCCTGTTCCCACTCCCCAGCCAAGGTATATCTGTCTTTAAGGGTGCCAATCCAGAGACAGCTTGGGTCCTCCAGATAATACTCAAAGGGCAAGTTTTAGGAACAGCCAAAAACACAAACAAAACCACTGCCCTCATTTGCCTGAATGGGAACTGCTAGCTCTAGGGTTTGGCCGCTCAGCCACTCAGAAACTTAGTAAGCGAAGCCTTCAGCATAGGGGAGGCTGCTGCAGCGATCCATGTCCAGGAGGTAAGCGGGGTTGTCTTCAAAGTGTGTCAGCGGCAGGGTATCCTCCTCACTGAGGTGGCACTCGGACTCTGCTTTCAGGAACGGGCGCTGGTTGTCAGGGAAGGCCATGGAGAAAAGGGCATCCGGGTCACAGACAAACTTGTACACGTATCGCTCCCCGGCCACCTGAGAGAGAAAACACACCCAGTAAGGCCCAGCTGGAGCAGGGCACGGTGGGGACCAAGCAGAGAATAATGAGATATTTGTAAGTTACCAACCTCTCAGGAAGCCAGGGACCAAAGGAAGCCCATTAGTAACCGATTACCCAAATTATTCAGATTTATTTTGATACATCTTGGGACCTGCTACCTGCCAAGGGTTGGGTTGATGCCACACCTCAGCAGTTGAGATATCTGAATTTCAAAGTCACACTATATAGGCTCAATACGCTTTGTTATTTTGAAGGGCTGGGCCAGTGGTCGGCAAATTGGGGCTCTCGAGCCACATGCAGTTCTTTGGCCCCTTGTGTGTGGCTCTTTCACAAAATACCACGTGGGAGTGCGCACGTACAGTGCGATTAAACTTCGTGGCCCATGCGTAGAAGTCGGTTTTCGGCTCTCAAGAGAAATTTAAATCGTTGTACTATTGATATTTGGCTTTGTTGACTAATGAATTTACCGACAACTCGGCTAGGAGTTTGATCAGACGGCCTAGGTGGAAATTTTAAGTTTGTTCCAAAGCCAAAAAGAATTGCTTCTTGGCTTACCTGCAGCTTTAAATTGCTCATTCCCTGGTTCTGTTACACTGAGGAAATGATAACTGCTTTATATGGATTTACCCATCATAACACTAAGTAGCACCAAAAAGTCTGGATTATTCCAAGGCCTCATGATGTAGCTGACGCGCAATCTAGGTCACTGGGAACCACTCTCTGCTGGTTGGTTAGCATCACATACCTCCCAAAATCACACTTGAAAATCAGCTTCGCTCAGGGAATGCAGACATACACTTAACCATCCCTATTTAGTTTTTCTAAGCCACACTTTTACATTAAATCTCTGGTTCCCCACCTCAAGAGTTGGTTACTTTTCTAACACTTTTGAGAACATTAAACTAACATATTTGAAGGTCTAGATGCTTTAACAACTAAAGACTTCAATGAAACTCTTGTGAGAGTGGAGAATTCAAGTCAATTCCCACACATGCTTCTTTATGGACACAATAATTGGCCTAAGTGTCTGGACATTTTCGTAGAGGCAGTTTAAGCAAAGCAGAGGAGCCTAATTTTCCCATGATTTGTTCCTCACACAACCTCTGGTTTTCGTGTCCACATTCAAGAGCAATAAAGGTACTCTTTATATCTCACTTGACTCTTATCTTAAGTTTGCTTTTCCAAGACTTTCTCCTACCACAGAATCACTTATGAGGCTGGCGTTTTCTCCAGTTAAGAACTCGAGAAGACCATTTATTTTCCAATGTTCTCCAGCCAGCCATTATAAACAGCCTTATTGCAGAAGCCCTTGACATTCTCTTTGAATGTGGTCAGAGCGGTTTGCGTCTCTTATAACTTCTCACCTTCTGCATGATGCCCTTCTCATAGTAATAGCGTAGAGAACGGCTGAGCTTGTCGTAGTTCATGGCTGGTCGGTTCTTCTGGATACCCCAGCGCCGAGCAACCTGAAGAGACAGGGAAGCAATGGAAACTCATTCCGTGGGCCTAGTGGTTTTTCTCCCGACCCAAGAGAGCCAGTTCTGTACTCTGACTGTCCGGGCCAATGCTCCATTTCCCCGACCTGGAAGGAAACGCATTTCAATCCTTCAAGACTAAACATCCCACAAAGGTGACGATTTGGTCACAACAGCTAAGAGGTGAGACCTGGAGGTGGAAGAACGCTAGTACTGTCGATTGCAGAGGGCTTGGCTAATGTCCCAGAGGAAGCGGGCCCTCTACTGTGTCTCCACATATGAATTATTGACCAATACCCGTAGACCATTAACATGTTGCCATTAAGTGCTATAGTTTCTGTAGCAGTCAATAAGGAATAATTAGAATGGTCATTCCTGAAACATTAGAAACACACTTGTGAGTTGCTAATGGGCCAGCAGAGCAAAAGTTCAATTCTAATAAGATTGGAGAGGGGCTGGGAGATGTTTACTTATTGCAGCTCAAGGAATAAGGGGGAATCAGATCATTTCAGCCTGCTGCCATCCAATCCCCAGCTCCCAGAGGACTTGCAGAATGGACATTAAAACATGTAGCACCATTATCCACTTAATGAAAAATTAACAGGGTTTCCCAAACAGTTCTGAAGTGCATTATACCCACCCAGTCAACCTGAGGTGCAGTGATGGGGAGAAGTAATTGGAGCTCTGGGCAAAAAAAGTCTCACAGCCAGAAAACTTCCTAGTAGAGTTTATCCAATTCTCAGGACAGCCAAGCAATTTCTGTTCTCAAGTATCTCAAGAGCCCAAATCCTGCCTATAAAGATGACTGTCAAGGCAGGAAAAGAACAACCCTAGAAATGTGAGTTTTCTCAGAGGTCTTTAAATATATGCAAACCAGGGGTCATGTTTTGAACATTTTAAGTCCGTTTGGAAACTTTTAAAAAAAGCAAAATAACTATATTAAAACACCAAATGTTAAATATGGAATGGGAAGTAGGGAGATTGCAAGTGGAAAAGTAAATCATAAGACGGCATTTTTTGCTTAAAGTATTTGGGCAGAAGGAAAACAACATCTGAATTTGGGATTCTAAAGCGACCTTTAATAAATACCAGAAATGATCTGATAAGTAAGGAGGAATGCATCTGTCCTAATTACATTAGAATAATTTAATAGCCATGATTCCACTCTGCCTTGCAAGAAACTGTGAAAGTTAAGTTTCCACTCGTTTACTTCCTGCCCCTATGCACACACGATGTCCTGGCTCTCCTCCTTGCTCCATAATGCATCCATTCAGCTCTGCCTTTGAAAATAGCCAAAAGGGGCAGAACGAACCAAAAATGACATCTGGAAATAGTAGTGTAAAGGAAAACCTGCTAACCTAATATATGTTCTTCTACCCTGGCTCAATAGAAATGGCACCATGAAACCGTACTTCCAACTACTGTCAGCCACAAGTGACGCAGGGACCCTTACAAGAAGCCCAGCCTCATCACTTTCGTATATTTAGTGGTGGAAAACATTCTTGAATATTCCTCCACTTCTGCCACAACCTCTCTTTGCAGTCACTTGCTTATGCAACAGCTTACTGGAGAGAGGTTCTGTACAGGCACAGACTTCAAAGCATCTGTGGTAGCCATAGTTACTGACTCATCCTCCTGGGCCAGGGCCCTGTGATTCAGTAGCCTTCACCGGGGCTGTTCCTTCTGCAGTAATGCATAATGTGGCCCAACTGCAGAGCAGCTGGGAATCAGGGCTGCCTCATTTCTGGGGTGAGGGGGAGCAGGGGATGGTTGGTTACCAGCTCTTGCTGCCTTTCATCTTTCCCAACCATTTACTTTGATAGCGGGGCATCTTGAGGATGGAGGCTGAAGGAGTTAAAAAAAAAAAAAAAAAAAATCCACATATCTTTTCCTCCCTTTTCAAGAGAGAGCAGCCACAGCGGGGGGAACGGTTCTTTCTGCAGCCCATCCTTTACACCTCCCATGGCATCAGTTATCTGCCACATGTTCAACAAACAACCCTACCCCCAAAATATTCATTAATGCAGATTCACAGTGAAAATGGCTCCAGATTAAAGCCGAGTCAGTCATAATTGAGAGGGTGCTAAGCTGGACGACTATCAAAAGACATTTGATTAGGGGGCCTGCCAAAACGCAGTTCTAAAACCACAATTTCCATGCACAGTGTAATGGATATTATGGATAATTACCCAGAGTGCACTACTCAGCCACACAGCTGCCTACAATTACGTCCCAAACAGCTTCCTCCTCCACTTCACCCTCCAAGCTCTCCCCACATGACGACTTCTTACAGCTTTTCCGAGGAGTTGGTATCTTCCTGACATTAACAAGAGAAGGGCCCACCAAAGAGTACAGTGGGGAAAAAACACACCACAGATGCTGCCTGTCCTGAGGGGAAGTGCAGAGATGGACCAGAACCGTCCTGAGTAAAGACATAGGAACATTCGGGGTTCATGGAATGCCCGGGATTGCAAGGTGGTGTGGGAAGAAGCACTTCCTGGAGAAACGAAGCTATCCAATCAGCCAAGGGGGGCTCACGGCCACCACAGGCCTCTCACGTGACTTGGGCGCTTGGCATTTATGAGCATTCTGGATTAACATTAGTTTCTTTATTGAGAAAGCAGGGGCCCTTTGCCATCTGTTCATCATTTTCTTTACCACTGGTAGGAGAGCAGAAGATTCAATAACAGCTTTACAAAGGGTCATAACCAGGTTCACCTGCAGCTGTACAGCCTGTGCTTAGGCCCGAGGCAGCGGCAATAAAGTAATAAAAGCTCCTGTTTGTGAAACAGGATAAATCAATAAGGGCTGCCGCAGGACAGATTTACTGTCACAAAGCCTCAGAGAGTCTAGGCGACATGCTTTCCTCAAGCCTCACATAAACCAGGCTGCGTTATGAGGAACAGAATGTGGGCCCAGGGCCCCCCAAAATGGCTGGACGGCGAAAACATGGCTCCATTTCCACATGACTTAGCCATAAAGAAACGCTTAGAAACACAACAGTAAGGGACTCTGGCTTTGAAGGTGAGTTCTGACAGAAACCATTTATAACATAGAATGTTGACACATTTCCATTTTTGTGAGTGATATAAGGTAAGGGACACCATATGTGCATCTCCTTTTATCACTGCCTCCAATCCACATATTCTCATCTTAACTTCTGGATCATTTTTTTCTTCCAAATCAAGTGCCAGGTTGTTAACCTTCTGCTGTTAGCCCTCATACCAACTTAACCCCTTAGTGTGCTAACATGAGCCCTGGAATTAATGGAACAACATTTAAAACAACAGTTCTTGCTCAAATGATTTCTAAGAACATTGTTTTCATTTCAATAACATATACCCAAAGATACTTATGCTCTGCTGATTTAATATATAACACCTAAGTACGTGCTACTCTGACGAAGCACATGCAAAATTTTCAGGGCTGTTATTTCTTATTTATAATCTCTCTAGAATCAAAGTCAATAGAAATTAAAAATCAATCCCTTTGGAATATGCCAAACTGGGAGTCTAATTTATTTTGTTATGTGATATTCAGGTAAGGGGTTCTGTAATATGTCTTCCTCACTAAAGAAATGGTACTGGTTTTGTCCATAGGCCTTTTTGTCAATAGTTCTGAGCAACAGACAGTAATAATGCTAACAATATTTTTTTTTCTATTAACAAAATAATGAAGGTTTTGTCATCTTTTAACTACTGTGATGTCACATGATATACTAAAAAAACAAAAACAAAAACACAACACTAAAGCTCCTAAGATTGACCTATCTCTGATAATTTCATTTCTTTAGGTTAGAGCCATTTGAAATATGTACTGGGGTAGCTGCATCCTGTAATATATTACCAAAGCTTCATGCAAATATTCTGTAGCGCCACATATGGGCTAGAACACATAAGGGCCGACACAAAAACAAGTTTATCACTGAAACATCACCTGTAACCAACTTTCTAAGGAGAAAATCTGGCCCCATTTAGATCTTTACGGCCTCCCGCCCCGGACTCTGTAGAAGTGATACTAATGCTCTGTAATGTATTTTACAGTGGCGAACGCTGCCGGTCCGTGAGTTATAAACTGACCTCTGAATAATGGGAAGGGCACTGCCAAGCCCATTGACCAGGCCAGGTCTGAATGAGAAGAGCATATTTAACACGGTAACAGCCTCAGTGGAAAACTAAACAAGAGCAAACATCATCACCATCAACAAATAAAAAAATCATTCGAGTCCGGCATCCAGTGCTCACCTCCTCAGGTTCTATCAGCTTGAACTCCATGCCTCGGCCTGTCCAGGCAATGAAGTGGGCATTGGCCGGGTCATCCAGAAGGGTAACCAGGAACTGCCACAGCTGAAGGGAGCCTCGCCTCTGGTAAGGGGGCCCCTCACGATACATGGTGGGCTCTTGTTTGACTTTGCCTGTGTGGGACAAAGACACACATGCAATACTTTAACCTTAATTGTTTCAGGCAATTTGGGCCAAAAAGAGTTAACGCTAATCTGCTCTGTTCATAAGACTGAGGGAAGTGCTCTGACATCCCTGAGCCTCCAGCTTAGCAACAAACCGGATAGGGCAGCTCACCTTCCAGTCTCTCGGGAACAACACAAGTGTCATCGAAGTACAACCGGGGATCTTTTTCGTATGGAAAACCTGAAGGAGGAGTTAAAAAAGAAAGACCACGTTGCTTAACAAATCCTCTGTGTGTTCTATTAAAATTCTGTATCTGAGAACTAAAATGGGATTCTATCCTTTTGGGGCCTAAGCCCTATGAAGGGAAATATCGATGCCAGACTGAATGTTGGGGGACTTCAAAAGGACTTAGGCCTTTGCGTTCTGATGTAATCACCAGAGCTTCCGTGCGGCCCTGCTCTGAGAGCTAAGACTGCGGGGAAGCACTGAATCACCAGAGCCCCTTCCCATCTTGCTTCAGATGTCTGTATGGATCCGTGTTGCTGTGACTAAGCCTTTATATCTGTAAAGACATATCTATTTCAGCCAGCCTAGCTACATGGATTTGGTTGATCTGTGCATAGTCACCATTTTCAACCTTTCTTTGTCAAGGCTGCCCATACACCTCACTCAATTATGAAAGCATTTGGAGGGAAGAGAGGGTCACCAAATTGAGTCAAGACTTGGGCCTGGGAAGGATTTCACGGAGTAATAATTTTAAAAGCAGGTTGCAGATATTGCCAGGCACATGGAAGGAATCTGAAGAGACGTTCTAGCAATAAAACTTAAGATAACAAGACAGAAATCAAGAAGGGGTAACTGACTGGCCCAACAATACGTGTACATGGAAATGAAAGGAAGCCAGGGTAGAAAGTGAAAGAGGTCAAGAAATAAGGAATGTCCTGTATTGTTAATTCACAAAAACCCTTCATATGCATTCCATGCTGACCACCATGTCACCAGGCATCCTGACAGGATAGGCGGTTCTAATCAAAGCCACTCAATAGACAGGCTTGATGGGGACCACATCTCTCCCCGTGGTCTGGCCTGGTCCCGGGTGTGAGCACTCCAGTGTGCCCTCCTTCTCAGGAGAAAGCACCACTCTCCTGGCTCTGCAGGACAGGTGTATGAGTGCCAGGTCTGCAATGGGGACAGGCGGGGAGGAGGCACTCTGCAGTGAAGGGCTATCTTTCATTTTGAGAGGGATTTGCTATAACTTGAAAAAATCCACAGATAAATGTGCCAAGAAACAATCTGCTGTTCTTTCTTCGTGATCAGTCCAGACCAAGTTCTTGGCAGGACCAGCCCCATTTTTAAGAGGCCTGGAACTGGGAAAACACTGCCCAACTTAAAGGAAACTGAGATTTTTAATTTTTTTGAGGTTTGAATTATTAATGTTTGTTTCCTCAGCTCCAAGCACTATTTTTCTGTTTGCTTAACTACCTCAAAGGATGTATAATTTTATTGTCATTTACTTATTATTTAATTCAATAACTATTTTTTGCCAGGTATTCTGCTGGAAGGAGGTAGACCATGAGAACACTACACTTGTTCTCATGGTGCTCACATCCCAATTAGTGGAGACAATTAAGTAGGAAAAAAATAAATAAATGAGACAATGTGTTGTATGGAATATTTAAAGAGTGTAAGCCCTAGAGCCAGACTGATGGGCCTAGATTAGCTGTGTGACCTTGAATAAGTTAATAAATTTCTCTGTGCTCCAGTTTCCTTATATGATAACTAAGGAAGATAATGATTCCTACCTTATAGGGTTGTGAGAATTTAATGAGCTAATATATATTCCATGGATCTAGTTATCTTTATACCAGAGTACCAAGAATAGCTCCTGGTAGATAAGTGTGCAATAAATAATTTAAAAAAGTTAAGATAGTTAATTGCACATTGTGATAAGAACTATTAAGAAATTGAATAATGTGAGAGCTTTATCTTCTATTCTCTCTCATAGATTCTAAATTCCTTGAGGATAAGAATCATGTTCTGAATATCTTCATATATTCATGACACCTGATATATAATAAGTGCTCCATAAGTATTTGAATAAATGAGAGAATCTATAGTCTCCATTAAAAAAGACTTAAGAAATACAATGTTAACTTTTAAATCAGGAATTCAATGACTCCTATGATACATTTATTTTCCAATTTGATTAGAAAACTGACTTTTATGACAAACTGCAATACTTTATATCATCAACAAGAGTTACATCATGCTTTTTGCCTTGTTTGCCAGGAAACTATAGATTCCTGATTTTCCATATGGATTTTGATAACTCCAGTGGTGTTTGAATGGCCTTATTATAGTCATTATAAGTATAATACTTCAAAGTTCATACACCTGTTACACTTGCTGTGTTATTTTTAGAGCTTTTCTTCCTCTGACGTAAAGATAACACAGTTATAATATACTGGGAGAAAATGTAAAGCTAGATTACCTTCTAGGTTTGTTTTTCAAACTAATCAGATGAAGGCCTGCCTGTGAGTATCGTTTTGATGTATTTTGTGGTTTCTAGTTATCACCACATGTGATTCTCTAAAACATCTGGAAGATGCTGTTGGTTTAAGTGAAATGTAAGTCAGTTGAATGTGCGCCAGCAATTACATCAGTTGTGGCTACAACTATCTAATCACTCAAATAAAGGTGGCAGGAAGGAAGGACCTGTTTGAGGAGCAAAGTAGAAATGAGAGATTCAAAACAGCATGCAAAGATTCCAGGTGAACCCTAAGGCAAGAAGGCTATCTTAGTAATCACAGATGCAATCAGAAACACTTGTTCCACTAACTGTTTCACAGGCATCTGTGGTCAAGCCTGTATACGAAGAGAAAAACCATGTCAGAATCATTTTCAGCAATTAAGAATGCAGGTCTCTTTGCAACGAACTTCTTCACTGTGTGGGGGGCGGGGAAAGGAACACAAACTCACCAGGTATTTTGTGTGGAGTAAGCAGCCCAATGCCTTACTAAAAATATTTCCTTTATATCCTTAAAGCATGCTCCTTTCTAAATGTTGTAATTATGCAAAATGTTCTCCTCCCTCGTCCCCACCACACTCCCTCTTATTTTGCCTGCTGCAAACATGAATTGATTCTGTAGAAACATTTGGGAACCTGGAAGAGAGCCCCACACAGCTGTGCCGATCACAGCAAGAGGCCCTTCCTTCCCAGGGCTGGACACTCACTCTGAATATACCAGTGCCTGGTGCATCGTCTGGTCTCCCCTCCAACCAAGCCAGCGGGAAATAATTTCTCACTGGACCACTCTTGTGAGCCAATCACTTACAAAAACCAGCCAGTGTTTCATAGTGCTGTTTTATTAGTTCTTTCAAACCTTCCTCTAAAACTCTAGAGAACAGTGGTTGTCAATTTTGGATGCACATGAGAATCACCTGGGGAGTTTTAGAGGCTACTAAACCCCTGGGTTCCACCCCAGAATTTCTGCTTTAATGCTCTGGGTGAAGCCTGGATAGCAAATGTTTTAAAAGTTTCTCAGGTGATTCTAATGTGGAGCCAAAGCTGAGGCTCTCTGATCTGTAGTAGTTCTCAGACTTAATGTGGATCAGATCACCTGGCTTGTTAAAACATGGATTTCTGGGAGTTTCTTATTCATTTGGGTCCTGAGAATCTGCATTTCAAACAAGTTCCAAATGAAGGTGATGCCCTGGGTTTGATGCATCACTGCTCTATATATTTATGCAGTGATTAATTTGATAGAATATAAGACATACTTCTGGGGAAGCTGTTGCAAGGAAAAAACTCTCCCATGTTTCAATGTTCAGAAGAGAAGTCCTGAACCTACCACCTCAAGTCATGACATAATTCCTAAATTCCAGTTTAGGCCGAATGTCTTATATACAGCTGTGTAACCTCCTTGTATGGAAATGTGGAAACCTGGTTGGTTCATCTTTTCTTCAAGTTCTCCCCTGAACTCCTAAGGTTAGGGTCATTCTATTGAAAATGCTGGCAGCCCTCACTGTGCTCAGGAGCATGCCTCAGACCCTTTGTGCAAAATAACGGAAGAATATGATCAACTAAGCCTCATATTCATGAGCTAAGGATGGCTTAAACTATGATCTCAGATCTTAGCCTGGAAACTGAGCAATTTCAAGCTTCCTTGAATACTTTTTTTTTTTTTTTTTTTTTTTTTTAAGTTCCTTACCTTCATGGCTGTTGGAGAAATAGCCCCCTCTCATGTAGGTTGACTGGCAGTTAGGCACTTCTGAAAGAGAAACACAGACATAACACTCTCATCAATCATTTCTGCAGTGCGTCATCACAACAATTGAACTGCAGCTCTGCCGTAAAGCCCTAACCTTCTCCATGTCATTTTGGTCTTGTCTTGGGAAAGAGGTACCACCCTAATAATCAACATGGAAAACACGATATAACCCACCATCTGAAAGTAGGACTCTTGACTCCTAAATCGAGAACTGAGAGAAAAAAATGTCTTGTTCTCACAACTTGCTCATTTAAAATTAGTTTAACACCAAACTTGATGAGAGAGTGAATGGTAGAAGAAACTGGCTTTTAAAAGGCCAAGGTTGGAATTTGCCTATAATGACTCTGCAACTTTGGGGTTTTGGATAGGGAGGAGGGTCACTAAGATCTCCCCAATTTACTCTTTATAGCTGATGGTCACATCTAGTTCTGCCATAAGAGGTGAAGGTATTTTTAGGCCAAAGAGATTAGGGGCTATGAAGCTAGGACAAGAATTGGCAGGAGTGGATTTGGCAAGAATATTTGCACTATGCTGGACCTGTCAGAATGGAACCCTTGCACAGCCATTCTTCTTCTGGCATCATGTTTTCAAGACAGTGAGTTGAGTTGTGTCTATGCAGGACAAGCCTGCCTGCATATCAAGAAACCACTAAGACCAAATAATTACAGATATAGTAAAACATCTGCTGAGTGTCTTTAAGGGAGTGGGATGGGGTAAAAAAACTGGTCAGGACAGATTAAAATGTCAATCCCAAAGAAAAATGTAGCTGTTCATGCCTACTCCTGAGAATAAGTACATCCAAGCCTTCAGGAGAAACACCAGTGGGAATTTTACAAATTATTGATACCCACCCTTGGTAATTTTTCTATCATAAAGCAACAGATGTCTCCCTTCTGCTTACCTCCCCAGCCTTTTCCACAACCAATTTCTGCCTGAATTTAGCAACCTATGTATTTTTTTAAATATATTTTATTGATTTTATACAGAGAGAAAGGGAGAGAGATAGAGAGATAGAAACATCAATGAGAGAGAGTCATCGATCAGCTGTCTCTTGCACACCCCCTGCTGGGGATATGCCCGCAACCAAGGTACATGCCCTTGACCGGAATCAAACTCGGGACCCTTCAGTCCCCAAGCCGACTCTCTATCCATTGAGCCAAACCGGTCCTGGCAGCAACCTATGTATTATCTCACAAAAGGCCATTGAGTAAATTCTATAATATAACCTATTCCACTTGCAAAAGCCATTCAAGTATATACTGCCCCACCCGCCTTTCCCTAGGGTCTTCAAGGAAAGCATATCTGGGGAAGGCTGAAAACCTACCCACCAACCCTCAAATTCCTTTAGCACCAACTGCAAAAAAAGAGTGAAAACTTAAGTCATTTCTGAAAGAAGGAAAAACGAAGTGGAAGAAACAGTTTCTAAATGTGCAAGCTACAGTCCAATCCTCCTTCTCCCTGATGATCTCATTTAATAAGCCTGACTTCTAAGATATGTAGTCAGTGAATGAGTGTGTGTGGAGGGGAGGGGGACAGCAGGGCCCCCAAGTACAGCTTAAACTCTTGATATGCTTAAGGTTCCAGACAAGAGTAACCTGTCTATATAAAAGCCAAGCAAACAGAATGATGGAACGACTGGAACGACCAGTCACTATGATGCGCACTGTGGTGGTCAACCGGCCCAGTGGGGGCCTGATGAGCTCCCCCTCCAACCTCCTCCAGCCCCTACCCCTGGCTGGCCTGGCTCTGATCGGCCCCCATTGGGGATGGGCTGGCGAATTTGTGCACTGGGCCTCTAGTAACCAAATAACAGGAGCCCTAATGTATTTCTCCCCGGGTACACCAGCAGCCACTGAAGGACACAGAAACTTTTCCAGATGAAAAGCACTGCAGTAGAGCAGTGAATCCCATGAAGCAATAAAAGATACCTTTTCCATGGCGCACCCAGCACCCCACAAGAGCTATGACACACCAGGTGCTTCCCTGGAACACCATTCATTTCAAGAATAGAAAGAATCCTGTCCCACACGTGGACTCTCTTCCACGTTCTTATATTGAAAGTTTATGAGTCTTGTATTAAGTAAGTCAGTCACAGAACTAGGCACAGGACTAAGATGCAGAAATAATATTCCCTGTGTCCAGTGCCTCTAAGATAATAGGTCTTAAAAAGGGCATCATCAAGATTGAACCTCAGGCCTGGCCAGCATGGCTCAGTGGTTGGGCATCAACCTAGGAACCAGGAGATCATGGTTCAATTCTAGGTCAGGGCACATGCCCCAGTTGCAGGCTGAATCCCTAGTGTGGGGTGTGTGGAAGGTAGTCAATCAATGATTTTCTCTCATCATTGATGTTTTTATCTCCCTCTCTGAAATCAATAAAAAAAAAAAAAAAAAAAAAAGATTGGATCCCAGCAATCTTCAGGCTTGGCCTCAGAGGTAATCTCTGCAGCACTTTTGAGTTGTAATTCTGGTTTGGTCCCAGAGGAGGTGACTGTAGCTTCCACCTACTCACTACCACCTTGAAATCTCCCTGCACCACTTTTGACTGCCTCCTGCACTTTCTACCATTTGTATGGCTTTTGTCTTTTATTCAGTTATGTATAAACACACCTGCTTTACTAGCTCCTAAGTTCAGGGCTAATTTTATGAAACTATTCCCTAAAGCCCTACAGGAGGAAGACATTCAATAATGTCCAGAAAGACAGATGAGAGAATGAAGAAAGAAGTGGCATGGCTTCATACTCACCTGAATCAACGCAGTAATCCCGGGGTTCCTGCTTGATGCCCATTGGTGACTGGAAGCCATGTGCTGGGGGGCCGGGCATGCCTGGGACCCCATGTTCATAGAGTGGGTCATGGTATTCCTGTTTGAATCCCTGAGGGGGTGGGGGAGCTGCAGGGACAATAGGTTCTGACATCTGCCGGTGGTAACTGGGGCGATTATCTCCAGGAACTCCTGACTGAGGAGGGAAGGGATGGCAGGGTTCAGACAGTTGTCTCTGAAATCTGCAAGAAGAAAGTAGTTATACTGTTAAATTAAGAACATCACGGATACCTACTATAATTTAGCATTGAGGATTAGATGTTCACATTAAGGAAATTATTTGTAAAGCAATGCCCCTCCAACCAATTTGACAAAATGTTCCTAAACTTTATTTAAAAGATAAAATGATTTTGAAAAAAGATAATGACCTATTCATCACTGACAAATATTATAAAGCCATAATAATACAGGAATAGGAGAAATGAAATATAGGCATGTCAAAGGAATTGAATAGAAAGCCAGAAACTGTCAATTATATCCCAAAATTTCTTAAGATAGGCATTTCAAATTAGTGGGGGGGAAAGGTTGAACCTCTATTTTATACCATATGCTTAAATGAATTTAATATAAAGATTTAATGTAAAAGCATAATAGTAACCATACATGAAAACATAAAATCTTGGAGAAAAACACCTTTTTATACATTTTACCAACAGCAGAAATCACCAACATAAATATGAACACACCTCATTGTATAAGTTTCTACAACTCAAAAAACATCAAAAACAACACCAACAAAGAAACAACAAACTGGAGAGGGGTGGGGGGATCTGTGACAGAAAATACCAGAATCAAATTCCCAAATTAATGGGAGGAAAATTCTCTAACAAATATAGCAATGTTAATATTGTTGATATAAAGGGGTTTTAAAAATCAATAAAACATGAACATCCCAACTGAAAAAAATGGGTAAACAACATAAATCAGGAAAAATTACTAAAGAAGGAATACTCATAAATAAACAAAAAGTTTAACTTCATTAATAATCATAAGGAGAGACAGTTTTCCCCAATTACTTAGAGGATGAGCAGGCAGTTAATAAATCTGTGTCTGACACATAAAAAAACACACACATTGAAATCATATAGTTAAATATTAGCTACGAAGATGGTCACCAATACAAATGTTTAATAAAGGAACTGGCTAAGGCTGTGGTAATACAGGCATTTAATTGAAAGGAATCATAAAAAATGATGCAGTATACAAATATCTGAGGACCTGAAAAGGTATTTTGGACATTATAAGGCAGGCTGTGAAAGAGTAAAAGAGCATCACATTTTTGAAAACATAAGGAAAGTGTGTATAGTGTTATATAAAATCCTGGATTTGTATCTAAACGTTCATATTGCTTATTTTGGGTGGTAATGATTTTAGGTGACTTTCTTTCTTTGCTCATCTATAGTTGAATAAATTACCCTTTATAATAAAGAGGTAATATGCAAATTAACTGACATGCTGTCACAAGATGGCTGCACCCACAGCGGAGGTGGGGTTCCCATAACAAGTGATCAGTAGGGACCTGAGGCTGCATGGAGCTGGGCTGGGGCGGACGACCTGAGGCTGCACCCCCCACTCAGCGGGGCTTGACTGGGGACCTGAGGCTGTGCCCTCCACCTGGTGCCAGGCCAGGGGATCTGAGGCTACGAGCGTCCCCCCCGCCAGTAGGGTTTGACAGGGGTGGGGCCAGCCAGGTCTGGGTCTTCTGCAATTTCGAGGTGTGGGTAGCCGGGGACTTGACTCTAGGTCCTGCAGTGCACCCTAGACTCTGACAGGTAGAAAATTTTCATATACATTTTACTAATTTTCTTTCATCTCTGACACTTCTATTATAGAGAAAGGGCAAATAACAATATTAAAATATTTCCTCTAATTAATTCCCTTTTAATGTACACAAATCTCGTGCACTGGGCCACTAGTCCTATATAATAAAAGGTTAATATGCAAATAGACCAAATGGCAGAACCGAACAACCAATCAAGACATAGTGTGCAATGACATGCTAACGCTGCTCAACCACTCACTATGATGTGCACTGACCACCAGGGAGCAGATGCTCTGACTGGTAGGTTAGCTTGCTGCTGGGGTCTGGCCGATTGGGCAGAGCAAGATGGGCCGGACATGCCCTGGAATCCTCCTGCAATCCCTCCCCGGCCTGCTTGTGTCCTGGTGGGATCCCTCAGCCTGGCCTGTGCCCTCTTGCAATCTGGGACCCCTCAGGGGATGTTGGAGAGCAGGTTTCAGTCTGATCCCACAGGCCATACCCCTTGGGAAGGGGCTAGACACAGGGCTCAAGGCAGGTGGGATGAGCAGGAGTGGCTAGTAGGAGCTGCAGGCAGTGTTGGACAGCAGGTTTTGGCTGGGTCCCTACAGGCCACCTAGAGGGACCCCACCAGTGCATGAATTTGTGCACCGGGCCTCTAGATTTATAATAAGACAGAACAATAAAAGCCTTTGTTATTGTTATTTAATGAGTATCATTAACATTCTTTAGCTGTCAGAGAAACCCAAAGGAGTGCTAACTGCCCTTGCCCTGTTGCCAAGGCAGAGCAGTAAAAGGGAAAGCCTGGGGTCCTGAAGTGAAGCCACTTACTAGGGAAGTGATGGGGGCACCTTTTCTTGGCTTCAGTTTCCTCATCTGTAACATGGGGATATACTATCCGACCAAATGCTACTGGAGAGATGAAATAACGTCATGTCTACAAAAACATGGTTTCTGGCACAGCTGTAACCACCGCGGACTGGGATAGACATCAGGAAGGTGGGTGCAAAAGTTAGAGATGGGAACCCTCAATGTGAGGCCTCAGTCCATGAGATATGCATAATTTATGTGTATAAAGGAAAGCATTTGTGAATGTATATACCCTCAGGTAAAAAAAAAATATGAGCCAAGTTTCAGGGGGAAAAAAGAAAAGATATTAGGACAACTAATTTTTTAAAATCAACAACATAATCCTGTAAAATTCAGGTCTTACTCTCTCCTATTAGTTTGAATCCTATTAATAGCTTTAATCAAATCATCTGAACTTGATTTGAATCAGTCTGTGGCAACAGGTGGCCAACAGATTTCTAGGACATCAAGCTTTCAAATCTTAAACTGAAAAGATTGGGTGCAGATAAAGTACTTTTTAGATCAGGGCACAGCATGGCTCTGAGTCTTTAGTGCCCTATCAAAAGCAGCAACCTATGCCCTGGCGGCATAACTGTGGTCAGCCTGTACAACAGAGGGTGGGTTCGATTCCCCGTCAAGGGGGGAGCATGCAGGAGGCAACCAATCCACGTGAGAGACATCAATGTTTCTGACTCTCCCTCTCCCTCTCCGCCCTCCCTTCCATTCTCTATAGAAATCAATGGGAAAAATATCCTGAGGATCTTTAAAAAAGCAGCAGCCTAAGATCATTTTACAACATAAAGATCACCAACAATTTTACATATAACGTACCCTTTTATTCCAGAACTAAAAGCATCAGAATCCGCCTGGCCAATGTACTGAATAAGTGTTAAAACTATATAAGGCCCAGTGGATTGAGAGCCTTTCACTGAGGGACTGAATGCATTACAGTGGAACTTCATCAGGAATGAGATTTTCTAGTATGCTGTTATTTAGGGAAACACTTGCAGAGTCTTTAAACAAGTGTAAATTTAAAACTTGGGGTTCCACCTGACATTTAGAATTTAACCACACACACACACAAAAACAAAACAAAACAAAACAAAACAAAACAAACAAACAAAAAAAACAATATAGGCACCAGCAGCACACTGCAAACCTGAATTTTGAAGCAGGGACCTCAAAAGAAAGATGAGGATATTCTCAAGGCCTTATTTTTATAAAGGACCCAACTCTTTGGCTAGCAGGAAGGAACAGTGATAAAGGCACTGTTCTCGTATCTTTCCCCTCTGCCACCATCTCAGCACCTTCAAAGGTGACCTGCACAAATCACTTCCTTTGATGGCTCCGGGATAGCAGGAACCACTCAGTTCTGTAACCAGAGCCTCTGCAGCTGGCAGGCCCAATCACTCCACTTCCGCTCATCTTCTCACCTTTCAGAGTGAAATTCTAGAGCTGTCCTGGTACAGCCCCATTCAGGAAAAGGGACTTGCATATGGGCATCAGGCAGCATAACTTTAAGGGTTTGTGAAACTTGGGGGCCTGGGATCTGCAGATAGATTCTGTCATTGGGATTGTTCTTAGTTTGTTTGGAGGGAGTGGAAGCAGCCAAGGGGATCTTAAGGGTAGTTCACAAAACCAACATATTTGGGAGAAAGAGTCTCTCAGAGCTTGCAGCTGATAACGGCTTTTATTTGCTGAGATTTGTAAAGTAATTCCGTTCTTCTCTCCTAAATACATTCTGTGAACTTAACTCACTGACCTTCATTTGAACCCTTTTCCCAGTTCGCCATCCTTTGAAGTACCTAAGAATGTGTTGTATACATAGTACAGCTGTGACAAAAATGCCTCGAGTTTACTGAGGCAGGCAAGCATTTTCAGTGGAAGAGGGGCCTGGTTCCTAACAAACCTCTGCCCTCTCACCCCCCATCTCCTCTGACCCGCACCCCCAAACTCAGATCCCGACAGGGCCCAGGTGAAATCACAGTTGGTGAGCAAAAGGAGACTTCCAACTACCGAGGGATTCTAAATCCAATAGGTTACGGATTAAGGCTTTTTCGGTGCCAGTTTATTTACAGAACCAGTTATTTATTTATCTGTCAGATTTATATAGCGCCTTTTCCTCCCAAGAGCTCAACCCACGCTACCAACATTTCGTTTACGTTATGAAAACCGTTAGATGCTTTTTCTGTATTTCCTTTTCGGTTTCTGCTGCCAACACTCAGAGTAAACACAATGCTTAGAGGAAAAGAAGGAGAAAAGTGTGGATTCAATGAGGGCCTCATAGTGGCCCTGGGTGCCAGGTGAAGCAGTGATGCTCAGTGGTCATTGAGAGATGATGTGTAAGATCAGCCAAGATATCAACACCGAGAACTTAATATTTCCGGTAAGGCTAAGAGCAGATAGAAAACAGAGAAGCAGCATAGCTGGGTGAGAGGCTCTGGCTGTGAAGTCAGAACATCCTAGGTTGAAACCCAATCTCTATCCTTATTAGCTGTGTGACCTTGGGCGAGTTATATAACTGCTCCGCGCCTCAGTTTCCTCTTCAGTAAAATAAGGACAACCAGGGGATCT